GGACCCCATGGCCAGCACCACACCGTCATCTCTGTGTGTGGGAGTCACCTTACAGAGATCTCTGTTTTAGGGGTCTATAGGAAGATCCTGGGGCAGTGGCAGCTGGGTGGGAGTGCTGGGAGGAGAACGTGGCTCAGTTTGGCTGTGGAGGGGAGGGAGCTTCCTGGGGAGGCCTGGAGTGCTGCGTGCTGCATTGGGGTGCGTTGTCACAAGCTCTGGCTCTGGTTCCTGTCTCAGCAGCGGTGGAGACGCTGACGTCTTCCTGCAGCCCTGAGAAGAATGCTCTCCGGAGCCAGCAGCTCTTCCTGCCAGGTAGGCAATTGCCAGGGGGCACCTCCCCTGGTCCCGCTGTTTGTTTGCCTTCTCTTTCCCAGGAGGCTGCTGGTCCTGTGTCCGTGTGCTCTCTAGGACACTCTGAGTCACCTCGGCTGTGGCTGCTGTCAGCCGCCCCGCTGTCCTGGTTGCCCTTCCTGGCGCGGGAGGGGCCAGGGCTCAGCGCAGTGGCTCTCGGGGTGTCTAGGATGCACTGTGCTCAGGTCAGATGCTGGGCATCGCCAGGCAGGTTGCTCGCTTGCCTCCAGGAGGAGGTCAGGCTTCACTGCTCTTCCAGACTGGGGGCCGTGGCAGGTCTATGGCTCCCTGCTCCTTTGGGAGAGGAGACCGGGCTTGGCCCTTCCTCACCCACCACGGATGCTGGGCCAGCCAGGCTGGGCTGCTGGAGGCTCACCCTGGGCATGGAGGGGCTTGCAGGGCTGCCAAAGCAACTAGCTGACCTTTTTGTAATCCCTGTCCTGCCTGTCTCTGACCGAGGCAGACCCCAGCCCCAGGAAAAACAGAGGTGCTGGCTCAGCTTTGCCGGCCAAGAGGAAGATCCCGGGAGAGTCTCTCATTAACCCTGGCTTCAAAAGGTAAGTGCTGCTCTGAGGCCCAGTGCTGGGGCTGGGCTGCGCTGGAGATCCAGTGGACTCTGCTTTGTAGCTGCATGGGGGCAGAGTGTGGGGCTTTGGGCTGTGATGTTCCTTCCATCTTCTTCTAGCAAGAAGGCACCATCTGGAGTGGATTTCGAGGACTCCTGACCTGTGCTGTCCCGTCCCCCCATGACAGCCCTACTGGAGCCTTGTCAACCGCACGTGTGGCTCGTGGAGGAGGTTTCACTGCACCCTGGGACTGCTGAGCCCCTCGCGCCCGGGGAGGCGGACGGGGCAAGCAGGACCCAGAGGGCTGGAGCCAGCACCTGGCAGGCCTGAGCAAGCGGCAGATCCTCAGCTGGCGCGGTGGCAGGGCCTTTGGGGGGACAGACCGGGCAGGGGTGACAGAAGTGGTGGCTTTTTTCCCTGCAGCTCTTCTCTGCTGACAGGGGCCACCTCTCTACCTCGCTTGCTATGAATTGGTGGGGTTTTTAAAGAACTTTTATATTGCCATGTAATGAAAAGATTGCCCGTGCTTAACTTATTGCCAGTAAAGGTGGTTTTAGCCAGCCGGTCTCAGGGGACCGGGACAGCAGGGATGTGTCGGTCCATTCTGTCTTTCCCTTGCTCAGGAACCCTGTGGCCAATTTCAGCTGAACCTGGAGGGTCAGGGGCTCAGAGGAGTTCACTTTCCTGCTAGCTTCGTGCCAGTGGGCTGGTGGGTGAGTGGTTAGAGCCTCCCCAGCCCCCTGGAGAGCTGGGAGAACGGGCCCAGCCCTTGATAGGCACTTGGAGAGAACTGAGAGGCCGGTGTGAAGTCCTGCAAGGGAGGAGAGCTGCTGGGGCTGGTCACTCGAGGCTCACACTTGTCTCGCTTGCAAAGCCTTTATTGATTTCCAGGAGCTCTGATACATGGCTTGGACTTGCCCCGCTTCACCCCCATCCCTCTCCCAAATCTGCTGCTAAGAGCTTCCTAACAGCGGGTTCTGGGGGGGATGGTGCCCTCTGCTCCCCTCACCCAGGGCAATGGGGGCTGGGCCGTGTCCACCACCCGCAGCATCCCCCTGGCTCTGTCCCCAGGGCTCTGCTGTGGCTGTGCTGGTTCCCCTCACCTGGTGCAGCTCCTCGGAGGCGTCCTGTGGTGCCCGCGGCCCTGGCTCCGCCCTGCCTTGGGTTACTCGCCTGGCAGGGGAGGCTGCAGGGATGCCAGCTGCAGTGTGCTGCCCGCTCTGCCCCACGGCCCTCTGCTCTGGGCAGCTTTTCCTCCCCAGCTTCTGCGCTTGCCCTCAGCATTGCCCAGTTTTGGTACAGATGGTGCCCGTGGCTGTGGCCCCCTTGCACCCATCCTGATGCTTGAGGGACTGCAGGGCAGGTTGAGGGGGACCTGGCCGGGCAGGGAGGGTGGCACAAGAAGCAAGAACACGATTGCGGGCTCAGTGCGGCGCAGATTGCTGCCAGCACCTCGGGCAGGGGTGCCAGCTGAGGGAATTTGGATTGCCAGGGGCACAGCTCCTGCTCTCTGCCCTCCCAAGTGCACGCTGGCAGGACTGTGGTGGTAACGGCAGGGCAGGGGGGGGCCATCGACGTCGGGC